TTAGTATGCTTGAAGTATTATTATTTTTATGTCAATATTAAACTTTTATCTTGAATATTTTGGATATGAACATTCATGCCACAATAAATAAAATTACATTGAAAAATATGTTAGGAAGCACTCCACATCAAAAATTCCGTTTTTATCATTTACCTACTCGAGGACGAGCAGGAATTAAGCTTGGGGATGCTTGATACGTCTCCAACGTATCTCTAATTTTTGATTGTTCCATGCTATTATATTATCTATTTTGGATGTTAATGGGCTTTATTTTACACTTTTATATTATTTTTGGGATTAACCTATTAACCGGAGGCCCAACCCAAATTGTTGTTTTTTTGCCTATTTCAGTGTTTCTAGAAAAGGAATATCAAACGTAGTCCAAACAGAATGAAACCTTCGGGAGCGTTATTTTTGGAACAAACGTGATCCAGGGGACTTGGAGTGGACGTCAAGAAACAATCGAGGAGGCCACGAGGCAGGGGGCGCGCCTACCCCCTAGGCGCTCCCTCCACCCTCATGGGCCCCTCATTGCTCCACCGACCTACTTCTTCCTCCTATATATATCTACGTACTCCGCAAACATCTAGGAGCACCATGAAAACCTAATTCCACCGCTACAACCTTCTGTACCCAAAAGATCCCATCTTGGGGTCTTTTCCGGAGCTCCGCCGGAGGGGGCATTGATCACGGAGGGCCTCTACATCAACTCCATGGCCCCTCCAATGATGTGTGAGTAGTTTACTTCAGACCTTCGGGTCCATAGCTAGTAGCTAGATGGCTTCTTCTCTCTCTTTGGATCTCAATGCATAGTTCTCCTCGATCCTCTTGGAGATCTATTCGATGTAACTCTTTTTGCGGTGTGTTTGTCGAGATCCGATGAATTGTGGGTTTATGATCAAGTCTATCTATGAACAATATTTGAATCTTCTCTGAATTCTTTTATGTATGATTGGTTATCTTTGCAAGTCTCTTCGAATTATCAGTTCGGTTTGGCCTACTAGATTGATCTTCCTTGCAATGGGAGAAGTGCTTAGCTTTGGGTTCAATCTTGCGGTGCTCGATCCTAGTGACAGAAAGGGAAATGACACGTATTGTATTGTTGCCATCGAGGATAAAAAGATGGGGTTTATATCATATTGCATGAGTTTATCCCTCTACATCATGTCATCTTACTTAAGGCGTTACTCTGTTCTTATAAACTTAATACTCTAGATGCATGTTGGATAGCGGTCGATGTGTGGAGTAATAGTAGTAGATGCAGGAAGGAGTCGGTCTACTTGTCACGGACGTGATGCCTATATACATGATCATACCTAGATATTCCCATAATTATTCGCTTTTCTATCAATTGCTCGACAGTAATTTGTTCACCCACCGTAATACTTATGCTATCTTGAGAGAAGCCACTAGTGAAACCTATGGCCCCCGGGTCTATTCTCCATCATACAAGTTTCCAATCTATTTTATTTTGCGATCTTTACTTTCAATCTATATCATAAAAATACCAAAAATATTTATCTTATTATTATTATCTATATCAGATCTCATTCTTGCAAGTGGTCGTGAAGGGATTGACAACCCATTTATCGCGTTGGTTGCGAGGTTCTTATTTGTTTGTGTAGGTACGAGGTGACTCGCACATGGTCTCCTACTGAATTGATACTTTGGTTCTAAAAAACTGAGGAAAATACTTACGCTGATTTGCTGGATCACCCTTTCCTCTTCAAGGGAAAACCAACGTATGCTCAAGAGGTAGCAACCACACATGTTGTTGTAGTGTATTTGAATGATGCTCTCTCTCTCTCTGTGTGTGTGTGTGTGTCCTTAGTGGGTCTTTGGTACATGCATATCATTGTGAAGTGGGGATTTGAGGTATTACGGCGAAAAAAGCTATCTATCACCTTAGTGGATTGTTGGTACGAAGAATATCAGGGACCCCAAGAGTTTTAAGCCCCGTCCATGGGGAGACCCTTAATCATTGTCGCCTCAGCGACATGCATAAGGATGGTGGTTGCATGCGTGATACGGAGCTGCCACGGTATGTAAATGTCTTCATTTGGCTCCGCCTATACGCAAAGACATATAACATGGCTTTCATATCAAACCAACAGTTGTGTACCTACGCTACTATCTTAAATACTAGTAGTGATGAATCTGACCCCCCTCCCCCCCGAACGCCTTTATTACTGGAGCACATGTTAGCTTAGTCTTGTTTCTTTTTATTACTATTTTACCTTTCTATTCGTAGTTACTTAATTCCATTATTTACCATTTCTCCAGCAATCGATAAAGTAAACCATTTCCAAACTACGCTATGAGTGCGAACATAACTGCGCACATGGCAATGTAGTTGCGGGGCTAGTAGTTGCTTTCCTTGGCTCTCTTGGGTTCGATATAAAACTGGGTTGAAAATACTCCCCGAGAATTATGCTTGTCAACTAGTCATGTGCACTTGCAGGACATCGATGCCCATAGACCATGTAACCTTGCCCATGAGCTTCTACTCGCTTTCCTGATCGTGCCTTCAAAAGGAAATGACGAGTGATGTCGTGAACTGATGCCTATGCCACCATCTTCTCTGCTTTCGATGATGGGCTGCTGCCCATCAATCTCCTCCGATGAAAGATCTTTGTCTTCCTTGACGACGTGCACAGATATGCCATGGTGGTCTTTGCCAACCTAAGCCTTTTTGAGAATTCATGCATCCTTGGAGCTATCACGCCAAGCTGGCTTACTTCCGCCCTACCGCTTCAATTTCTATCTCTTTTAACAGAAGGAGCGCCTGAAGGCGCCATTCATTGAACTTTCATACACATCTTACATCATGGATACAGAATCCATTGTTTACAAAGTTGCTCAAAGCTAGCAATACTAGGCATTGCATACCCCTATGAGCTAGCTAATACGGTACATGATAGGAGGTATAGTAGAAAGCTTTTTCAGCGAGTCTTTTGCACAGTTACGAGCAACACCATTCAAATCTCCTTTGACATGATACACCTTTAACACGAGGGCCCTAGAACAAAGTATTCTACCATCTGTGAACGGATTTCCCAATGTCTCGGGTTTGAATATATTTCACCGGAAGCCGCAATTCTTGCAAGTACCTGATTGTCTGTTGAAATGGTGGCCTAATGTAGCTGAAGTATTTTTGCGATTTCCGAAACAAACAAAAGCGCCTTGGCATCAGTCGGAAGAGGAGAGCTCACAAGATCGTTGCTGCCCATGATCATGACATTGGTTTTAAGTTGTGTCTGTCCATTGCAAATGTATATGCCTATTCCTGCAGTAGGCTGGAGAGAGGGATGTTTTCATGTTGCATGTGTAAATATGTTTAAACCTACAAGATTCAAAGTCAATTTTGATTGTGCTTCCAAGAGGTTGAGACGAGATTAGGTTTATATTGAGATCATGCGCATCCTTGTTTTTGTCCGTGGCTGGCTGACCAACGAAACATGTAGCTCTGGGCTCTACTTGAAACCTTTTCATTATAGCTTGAACGGCTTGATGCACAACACTTACTCGTGGGAAGTACACATATACTGTTATGAAAAATACACTACAATGCGTGAAAGTACACTTGGCATCAAAATGTTTGATAAAGGCTATCAACAATGGATCTAGTTTGTGAGGATGGAAGTGATTCATAGTTTGGAAGCTCAGTTTGAAAGGTACTTCACTGAAGTTCCAATCCTGAAAGGCCGTCCATCAAGACAGGGGAAAATCTTACCAAATGGATGTAAGGCGTCTGCCTTATTATGGTATATACGACTATGTAGAAATGATTTTGTTTTTAAGGACAGAAATTAATCTCCTCTACAAGCTATTGTTTGTTGTACGTATTGTCTTCATATGTGTCTACGCTACATCAAACTGTGTATCAACCGCTGTTCAACACGAGATGGCTAGAGAGGTTACAGTATAATTTCTAGACCAGACCTATCACCTCCCTCGACATAGACAAAGTGTCGCTGACTAAAACTTTATTATTGTTGATATTCAGTTTTTTTATCGGATAGTTCGTGTGTTAATGATAGATATGCAGAGGTCAGATGTTGTCAATCATGATTGTGTCCGCTAGATGCTATATATTTTTTAACTAATATAGAAGCTTCTTTTATCATAGTAGGAAAACACAAGTAGAGCAAGTGTGTTTTTAACACAGTACAAACGCAAGCGCTCATATACATGCGCATACACCCCTATGAGCACCTCTGAATGACTGAGCCGACATATCATCTTAAAAATTATGAAGTCACCGTAGGCACCTCGTCGTCGACAGAGACATCTCCTCCCACTGAATGCTCATCACCGAAATTCCTGAAATAATCCAGGAATAAATGCGAGCACCAGGACTTGAACCCTGGTGGACAGGGGATACCACAGTCCCTCTAACCATTTAAGCACAGATTGGTTCGCACAGATGGGCAGGGAATATCACAGTGTTTGTAATCGTCGCTAGGTGGTTCATAGACCTGGTTGTAATTTTTGTTACCTTTTGTGTTCTCTGTACTGCCATGATTAATGAATAGATTGAAAATTTCTCTAAAAAAATAGAGCATGGAACAACAAAACAAGTAGAGCATGTGTTGTTCCACGTATCGCCATGGAATACCATGCGAGACAATGGGGTACGTTTTCGCCGGTGGTTACCTTTTTGTGAAAAAAAACTATACGTTATTATTTCTGTATTTTTTCTATTGATTTTTGATTTTCATGTTCAGTCTCCACCCTTGGAGCAAATACAGTATTTTTCTTGGTGGCTGCCGCAGATTCACAGTCACACGGCCGACAACGATGTCAACGGATCCTCCCCTCCATACAAACGAAGCACAACTCTTCTCTTTCTCCTCTCCTTTTATTATTCCCGAGAAAATCCAACCCAGCTAGACTAGCCCACCCTCCACAGCTCTTCTCCTTGTCTCCACAACACAGCTTGGCTCTCCGCCGGTTTCTGCTAAGTGGAGAGGCCCGTCAGCTCGATCGGCTCCAGGATCATGGACGACGGCGCAAGACCGGCGCCCAACCACAAGAGGCACCTCCCGTAATTCACCAGCTGCTCTGCCCAATTGATTTGTTTCTTTTCTTGTGTGCTTGTTGTTCCTTGTGAGAGCCTTCTCGTGGCGCAGACTGCAGGAGGCGGGCGGCGAGCTCGTGGAGCTGCTGTGGCAGGACGGGGCCATCGTAGCGCAGGCGCAGGCCCAGACGCCGCACCGGCGGTGCCCCCAGAGCGGCGCGGCCAGCGGCGTCACCGCGGAGGATGCGTCCGCGTGGTTGATCCCGGACGGCGGCGGCGGCGGCAGGGACCTGTACTCGCACCTCTGGCACGGCGTCGCCGACGGGGACGCGGGCGCGCTCGTGGCGGGGAGCGGCGCCGGGACGAGCTTCTGCGGGAGCAACGCGGTGACGGCGCCGGCGCTGCTGCCGTCGCCGGAGGAGGAGCCGGGCTCGTCCTCGGCGGGAGGCCAAGCGCTACTGTCTAAGAGGGGAAGGGACGAACTGGGTAGCCGCCGCGAGGTTCTCTTCCTTTTCCCCTCTACCTCGTCGGCGGAGACGGCGACATTGCTAAGCACTTATTAAGTTTGTGTATAGTCTCGGCTGAACCGGTGACGGAGGGAATATTATGATGTTTGCAGGATGCCGACGACTGTGAGGCCGTCAATGAGACCCGGCCGCAGCGGCCGGCGGCAAAGCGAAGGACTCGTGCTGCCGAGGTCCATAACCAATCAGAGCGGGTAAAGCCCTGACGACTCGCCCATTCCAGTGTTGATCTGTTCCAAACCAGTCTTGTGATATTTCTGTCTTGCAGAAAAGAAGGGATCGGATCAACGAAAAGATGAAAGCATTGCAAGAACTCGTACCCCATTGCAACAAGGTATCAGAGAAGTTTCTGCGTTAGTACTTGTGTTCTTGAATCATTGTTACATTTGTAGTTTGGTGTGGATGGTTGATCCTAGCTAAAAATTAATTGCAGAGCGACAAGGCGTCCATCCTAGACGAAGCAATCGAGTACTTAAAGTCTCTGCAACTGCAAGTTCAGGTTCAAATTTCAAAATCACACCCTGAATTTCTAATTTCTCCTCAATCAAGCACGGTACTCGACTGACTGCCGTTGGCTTCGGTTCAGATCATGTGGATGGCTACTGGGATGGCGCCCATGATGTACCCTGGTGCTCACCAACTCATGCCGCCGATGGCCATGGGCTTGAACTCAGCGTGCATGCCCGCGGCGCAGAGCCTTAGCCAGCTGCAAAGAGTAGCACCGTTTATGAACCATCATCTCCCAAATCAAATGCCTAGGGTCCAATCTCCAGCTATGGATTCCCTCAATGTGGGAAACAATGGTGTCTGTGGTGAGCCAAGAAACCCTTTCCTGCATCCAGGCAACACACTAACAGCAGCATCTCAGGTTACTACAACACAGTTAGTCTCCTCCTGATCTATCAGACTTTTACTCCTGTTAGCTTACGGTGTCGATTCCTCACAGCTGCCTGATATGTTTCCCTATGCATCTCAAAAGGCACAACAAAACCAGAATCATCAGTTACTGCCTAACACTGACATGCCAGCTTCAGGACCCTGCCCGCCATCTTTTGCTGACGGAACTGGAACATAAGACCAGGCAGTTTCAAGCAAGATGATTTACTGGTCAGTATAATGTTATTTTTTATCTTTTTTTACGTAATATTTTTTTTACCAATTAACTGAAACTCCAATAGGCATGTACATATCAGTAGATGAATCTCCCAGTAATACAAAGTTTGCTATCGGTAAACTGAAACTCCAATAGGCATGTAGATCGGTAAATAATGTGCAGGCATGATTTTTATTGAGTTATCTATGAAATGTACTACATGCTGTCATTTTTTCCCACGCTTAAGCGCATGCACTTGGCGTGTGGAACCTACCGAATTGCCGTCGCCGGATGGAACGGTTCTTGATATTTTGTTCCCCTTTGGCACCTTCCGGGTCCTGTCCAATCAGTAGATTAACTCTGATCGCGGCGGTTGTACATCCGTTTCACTCTTTCGCTGCTACATTCAATAGACTTTTTTGTCAGATTTGAAAAACAAGTCCCACTAGTTCACAAACAATTGGGTTGGGCATCGCTCTCTTGATGCAGACGGGACAAGGAATGCAACAAGGACTTGCATGAGATCAGCAACTACTGAAAATACTACTAGTAATACCCAGATGAGATCCTTGATATTATCCCAACAAGCAATTTATGCAGTGTTATTGCCGAAAATTATCGTCATGATACAGGATCATTGGACCGATGTAGAGGCTAATGATATACTAGTTTCAGATAACCCAGGACCTGTAGGACCTTATGTACTAATCAAGTTCTTTGGTTTATTTAGATTGATATCTTTATTTAGAGGCTAATAATATACTCTCTCTGTTTCAAATTAGTTGAAGTTCTAGGTTTGTCCTAAGTAAAGACGTCTTTAAGTTTTACCAAGTTCATAGAAAAAATATATCGACGCCAAATTAGTTTCAGTAGATTCTCTATAAAATATATTTTCGTACTATATATATATTTGATTTTGTAGATCTTAGCAGATTTTTCCATAGACTTGGTCAAACTTTAAAAAGTTTGACTTAGGACAACCCTAGAACTTCAATTAATTTGGAATGGAGGGAATACTTGCTCAGATATCCCAGGGCATCTAGGACCTTGTATACTAATCAAGTTCTATACTTTACTTTTTTTAGATTGGTCATCTATCTATATGATAATATAAGATGCCAAGGAAACACAGACATGTCTGCCACATCCCCAACCAACGGCCAGAATAACTCGCAGGAAGCAATAAAATACTGTATGACGATGCTAAGTTTAGCTCTTTCTTTCTTTCTTTTCCTTATCATCTTTGGCATGTTGCTGAATTTTTGTGTAATGACCAACCAGGGGGGGTGGATACAGGAGGTCAGAGCAAAATGGTCCTAGAAGAACAAGATATGATATGATACCAAGACGCTGTGTGCTGTAAGGCCAGGGGAAGATCATGCAACACTGAGCCTTCGTGGCACCACTAAGCAACCAACACGTATGGGCCCGAGATCATGCTGATAGCAGATACTATTCTTATCTGGAGAATAGTCTTGAGCATCAGCTTTCTGTTTATGGAAGGATTTGGTCCATGGGAGATGAACTTGGGCTTGACAGGGACAACAAAGATGCTTCTGCTGATATGCTGCAGATCTGGAGATGACATTGTTGGAGCCAGCATCCGCACAGGGATACAACTTGGGCAGTTCTGTTCGGCTTTCCACCGATGTAACTCCACTGGTGAGACCTAATAGGACTGTCCTGTTGACCTGCGGTCGACGATTGAGCTATCGATATAAACAAGGGCAGGCAGGAACTTGTGCTTTTCGGACACCATTGTAGATCAGGTTTGCATATGCCTTTGAGAATTCAGACAAGTGGCACATGAAGATCATTCTTCATTGTTCATCAGGATTGCGAGATTATCGGCTTATTTTGTGTGTCGCCCACCTTTTCGCCTTACCCTTAACCCTGGAAAGATTGTACCACATGTGGTGATGCCCTGTTACAAGTTCATCAGGACTGTGACGGTCATCATCCGTTTCGTCACAGAGTAATTAGTCTCTGAAATTATCAATGCAGCTGCATCTTTATTGTGCTAATTATGATTCAGCTTCAGTCGCCGTCAGTCGAGACTGGGACTTTGCTTTGCATTTATACGTCGAGATTTGGCTGTCATGCTCAAGTATTTATGCGTATTGCAGCGATTGATGTAGATGCTTGGCAATTTGGAGGACAGATATACACATTCTCTGCGTTTTGCTCTTGTTTGCATATATTTTTCTGTGGACAGCTGCAGATATAAATATCCAGTAAATCCTAGCTGGTCAAAATTTCCAACTTATGAAAAAGCAAAAAAAAAAGGCTTCGCCGCGTTTGCAGATATTTTTCTGTCGACAATTGCACATATGAATATCTAGTAATAGCAGCTCAAAATTTCCCAGTTATGAAAAAGAAAAGCCAAAATGAATAATTGGCTTCGCCCGGGTTTGAACCGGAGACCTTCAGTGTGTTAGACTGACGTGATAACCAACTACACCACGAAACCTCTTGCAGTATGTTTACATATTGAATATTTATGATGTAAGTATGCTCAGTTGATGAACCAAACAAACGGCGAAGGCGAAGATGAGAAGCGAAAGAGAAGGAGCATCGAGGAGAATGGACGTTCTGAACACACCGACCTCTGATGACTTCCACGCGGGATCCGAGGCCAAAAGTACTCCCTCCATAAAAAAATATAAAAGCATTTTAGATCACTACTCGCTTTTACATTTCTTTACAAGACAAGCGTGGAATACTATTCAGCGCCTTAAGCGTCACTTAACTTACAATATAATCCTGCTCAGTGTCTTAAGCATCACTTAACTTACTATATAAATGGGTAGGAAGATAGTGGTATCCCTAGCCCATCAGGTTCCAGTTCTGGTGTTCACATTTTTATGAATTTATTTCAGGATGACGTTTCTGTCAATTATGAGGCACCTTTGATGACTTCGTAAATCTCAAGATGATATGCCGGTTTAGTCTCTCGAAGATGCTCATAAAAATAGAGTGTGCATCATAGAGGTGAGCACTTGCATCTGTATTGTGTTCAAAAAAAACATGGAGTATAAATGGTACATGACGCCTGAAGTGGTCACAATGGGCCGGCCCATCTAAGGTAGTCCTAGTGGAGAAGCGCATCCTAGTTTTGGGAAGCTTTTGGTCGTTTCTTTTTCTTTTCTTTGTTTTAGTTTTTGGACTAGCTTTTGTTCGGTTTTGAGGGGTGTTTTTCATATAATTTTTGTTCAAACACGCGAACTTCTTTCAAATTCGCGTTTTTTATTTTTGTGAACTTATTTTCAAATTAGCAAAAAAAATAAAATTTTGCTGACTTTTAGTTTCATGGATTTTTAAAAGTCCTAGGTTTTTTTTTCAAATTTATGATTGTTTTTAAATTTTGTGAAGTTTTATTTCAAATTCATGAACTTCTTCAAATCCATGATTTTAAAAAATTTATCAACTTTTTCAAATTGAAAGAATTTGTTTGAATTTTTTTCAAACTCATGACTTTTTTTTAATTTTGAAGACTTCTCTAAAAGGCCAATGGTCGATGGAGCCCTGGATAGCGGTTAATAGTTGTCGTGTAAAACTGGGAGCCGAGTGAACCGGGAACTAATGAACTGAGCGAACCAACAACCGAACGAGAGCTCGCCCTGTTTATTGGGTAGGCCCACAAGCGAGAGGCATGTAAGCGCTCATTCCACAACTGGTGCATAGTAATGCACCAAGAGCATGGTTAATAGTATAGCCAACTACCGGCTATATGAAGTTGTCATGTCACATATAGTCGACCTAATAGCCAACACGTATAGTAGCAAGTTGCTAAGTAGTACTTTATTAATACATGGTCCATCTTACATCCTCACATTGTTTCTTGGAGCCCGTGCTACAGCTGACTGTTAATCTGCAGCCCGCTTCTCTTCTCTCTCATCCAACTCAACAAAAATACAATAGTTTAATCTTTACAGCCTGCTGACTGTACCTTATTATACTTGCTCTCAGGAGCACTCCAATAGAATACATAGCAATACACTGCGTGCATAGCCTTGATAGGATCACTATAATCAATTCTCTCACAAGGCATGCATGGGCCACACCTTGTCTGATGCCTCTTTTTCGGTGCTGATCGGTGGGCCGTGATGATAGAGAAAAATGAGTGCCTAGTCCAACCATAAGGGCTCTCTCAATGCATCCTCTCTTAGCATGATATCATAGGGGTATTAACTTAAGAGACAACTAGCCCAATGCACTGCTTCTTAGGGGTTGTATCTAAATTTAATGATGCCTCCTTCCCTGGCCCTCGTGTCGTCCTCCCGAGGGAGACTTGGGAGGGTGGCGACTAGGGTTCGAACGCCGCCACCCCTCCCTCCCCGCCTTTACCCTCACTGCCACCAGAGACTAACGCCGGGGAAGCCCGTGTGAACACCGATGAAGGTGATGGCGGGGCTCTCATCGCTCGGTTTCATACAGAGGGTTGCGGACGCCGCCGCGGAGGCCCTGGGTGGAGAGGCACAAGTGTCTTGCACATGCCATCCACGGTAGCTGGTGGCCAGAGCTATCGGCCGCGCGCGGCGAGGTCTTGGTAGGCGACGGTCGTGGCACGTTTCCTCCTCCGGGTGTATGCTCTAGATTTTAAGGTTCGGCAGCGCCTCTCCCCTCAGATCGACTCCTCCTCGCTTTCCTCGATGGCCATAGGTCGTGATTGTTGGTCTTCAAGCAGATGAGGTGCAGGTGGTGTAGGTTGGATCCCGGGGGGAACCCCTGTCTAGTTGGTCCGGCCACGACAGCGGCGACGCCCAAGGGCACTGTTTTCCTTCCTGGAGGAACGGCCGAGGACCCCTCTGTCCCACCCCAGACCATCCTCCGGAGTGGAAGCTCAAAATCCAATAGATTTGGCGGTGATGGCTTCATCCGCATCGTGTGCTCCTTGGAGACGCCGCCTGGGGTAGGCTGGTCTGGTGGAGTGGGCCCGGGGTGTGGAGCTGTTGGCGGCGTTGAGGTTTGAGCAACAGTGG